GTATCAGGCTTTCAGGTCAGAGGCTCCGCGTGTGCCCGCCTAAGAAAACCACCTGCTTCGGTCGCTACCGGGGCAGTATCCTGGCCCTCACACAAATTGAATGGTTTATATGGTTCATTTCTGTTTGGTGCCTTCTTGTACCAATGCTTATATGTTTAAATAAACAAATAAATACTCACTGATTCTCCCAAAATATAAGAAAGGATCAAAATCATCCTGTGATAATCGTAGAGGGATTAGTTTGACTAATATAGCACGTGAAATACCGGTCCCAATAATAATCGGGTGCCTAACTAAGCCTTATGAACTGTAAACACGAGAAAATCAGGCTGGCTTCAAACCTGGTCGTGGCTGCATTGACCACATATTCACTATTCGTTGGGTTTTAGAACACAGACATGCTTATCGGCTTCTGATAAGGATAGTTTTCCTTGACTTAAAAGCAGCATTTGACTCTGTAGATCGAGAGGCTCTGTGGCAGTGTCTGTCATTGAAAGGTATACCTCAGAAGTACATAAACCCTGTGAAGGCTCTTTACTCGAACACTACCAGTCGAGTGAGAGCTTATGGCGAACTGTCATCTGATTTTACAACCTCAAGTGGTGTCCGACAAGGCTGTCTACTATCTCCATTTCTGTTCAACTTCATCATAGACCTACTGCTTGAATTAAGGTTCTTGTCGACTGAATTTTCAAGAATTGACCTCCTTCCAGGAGGTCCACTTATCGACTTTAAATACGCAGATGACATAGTCCTGTTTGGTGAAGACGCTGACAAAATGCAGAGTCTTTTGGTAGCAGTGAGTAACAATGCCATGATGTCTGGAATGCGTTTCTCCCCCTCTAAATGTAAATTGTTACTCCAGGACTGGCCTGCGTCAACACCTGAACTAAGGATAGGGAGTGAAGTAGTCGAACGCGTTGACTGCTTTACTTATCTTGGAAGTCTGATAAGCCCTAATGGGCTGGTGCCTGACGAAATCTCAGCACAGATTTAAAAAGCTCGTTTGGCTTTTGCCTATGGCGAAGACAAGATATCCGTCTGTCAATCAAGGGACGAGTATACTGCGCAGCAGTTCACTCTGTTCTACTTTACGGCTGCAAAACGTGGTCATGAAGAGTAGAAGATACTCGTAAGTTACTAGTATTTGAACACATGCCTTAGAAATATTTCTCGCATCTTCTGAGACCACCAGGTAAGTAATAGTGAAGTTAGACACAGGGTATTAGGGAATGATGGTAAATCAGTCGATGAGGTTGTGAATCTTCATCAACTGAGATGGTTGGGTCACGTGTTATGTGTGCCTGAACACCGATTACCACGACGCGCAATGCTGACTAGTATTGGAGATGGTTGGAAGAGAGTTAGAGGCGACCAAATCAAAACGTGGCATCAGTGTTTGAAGTCACTAACTTCTAGTCTGAGCCATGTTGGTAGGTGAAGACTACTTTGTTGGGGTTTGCGTGATCATCGTAACCAATGGTTGGAGACCCTGTATGACATGGCTAAAAATCGACCACAATGGTGCAGGTGTATACACTCTTTATCTTCCTTTAAACCGTGAGATTAAAATTGCGTCATATCTGTCTTTCTTCCTGTACTATATCCTTATATACAACCTTTCTTTCATATATTACAACTAAATTAACTACCTCTATGAATTTGGTGTTCATCTTGTTGTGCTGATGAGGTATGGCAACTTGGATCGATGCATATATGTTCCTGGTCCTACGTTGTAGCCGACTTACTTGTCTCGCCTTCGCCATAGGTGACGCAAGTTAGCAAAGGCCAAACATGCTTATTGGACCTGTGTTGAAATTTCGTCAGAACAACCCATTAGGGCTGGTCAGACTTCCAAGATAAGTGAAGTTGTCGACGCGTTCAACTACTTCACTCCCCATCCTTAGTTCAGGTGTTGACGCAGGCCAGTCCTGGAGTAACAAATTACATTTAGAGGGGAAAGAAACATCCCAAACATTCTGGAATTGTTGCTCATTGCTGCCAAAAGACTTCATTTTATCAACGTTTTCACCAAACAGGACTATGTCATCTGCGTATTCTAAGTCGATAAGTGAGCCTCCTGGTGGGAGATTAATTCCTGTAAATTCAGTCGACGACAACGTTATTTCCAGGGAAAGTACTCAGGTTTCCCTCCTTTTACTTTCGCATTATTGGTATAGAAAACAGACTTGATCGTAATTGACATATCGTTTACGTACTTGGTTGAGGTCCGCGTGATTTTCGTAACCAATGGTTGGAGACTCTGTGTGACATGGCTCAGAATCGATCACTATGTAGTAGGTGTATACACTCTCTGTCTTCCCTTAAAACGTGAGATTCAAATTGCTTTATACCTTTCTTTCTACGAACTAACTCTTTCTTCCTATATTATATCCTTATGCATTATCTTTCTTTTATATATTACTACCGTTGAAGTAACTACTATGAATTTGGTGTTCATCTTGTTGTGCTGTTGAGGTGTGGCAACTTGGACCGATGCATATATGGGCCTGTTCCCACGTTTTAGCTGACTGACTGAGCAAAATCACAATTGAAAATGCTTTTGAAATAATTGCATGACCTAATTTAGCCATACAAACGTCTAATCGATGCTAGTAGGACTTCAAAAAGTTACTTTAAGATACTATGAACACTCAACCTTTTATGGAAGTTAATAAACTGTCCTTTTTTACGCACTAGGCCGAACAAAACTAGTGTATTTCTTATAACTATCATAATAATAATAGCTTATTGAAATCATCATCACAGTTATGCTCAGATATACATAAAAAGTAACTTTACTTTTCATTTCATCAACCTATGCTTCTGCGACTGCATGTTCTCTGTATAATTATTAACTCGATCGTTTTCGACCTTTTAACTTTTTACCAAGATTACTGCTAAAAATTTTCAAATGTTTTCATTAGTTTCCTTGGTATAACTTGTTAGAACGTTCAGTCATACTGAGTCAGTTATGTCCGTAGGACACAAAAAGTAGTCATCAGTATTTTAGCAAGTTAAAACAATTAGATGAGTATATAATCGTTTTTATCACTCTCACAGTTAGGTTGATCAGCTCAGTCATTTGGTAGAGTAGAAATGTACCCGTTAAATTGTTTATTCAACAAATATTTTCAAGATTGTAGGAAACCCGTTAGACTAATAGAAACCGCCTACTACCCTTAAGCACTAATGCTTCTACCCATTAATATTTAATGTATTTTTCCTAATGAGTATATTAATCCTAATATCTGTTTTTGGCTTATAGTACAATTGTCCAAGGTTTCCACCAAAATCTAGGTCTACGGACTACGGTTATATAAATTTAACATGGAAGTTTCCCAATTATAAGAACAAATTCAATCGCAAATAACCGTGAATGCTTTCTGAAGTCGAGTAGGACTGCCCGGTGAACGGTTGTTATGGCTTAAAACGTCATGATTTTTATTGTAAAATGATTGCATCGTATACTGATCAGTAGCCAAAATGGATCCATAAAATGTATCCAATCGATGACTGCTCTCTATCGCAAATTATTAAACCAAACAGCCAAATGAACTGATATCATAGGACAAGGCAGCTACATAAAAGAATAGGCTTTTTACTTAACAAAGTAACATGTTTACATACAAATGGCTAGCAGAAAAACAAACAGTTGCGGAATATCAAAACTTCTGTTCGCTCAATAAATTAAGATTTAACCGTTAACAGTGTTGATGCTATTTGTGAATTTCTGGGTAAAGGTGATAAGTCATTTAATGAGGTTCATATATGTCTGTTTATCAAGTACCTAACTTATTGTATTATGCTGGCTAGTAACCTTAGTGCACCAGACCTAAGTACGACATCATTACACAAAATTATAACACTTTAATATCCCTTCACAAACGTGCAACCTGTGCTAAAAGTGACATGACTCGAAAGTGCCTGTAGTATTTTTATTTTATTTAAACACATAAATATTGGTACAAAAAGCATCAGATAAATATGCGCCTCACAAATCCCATTTGATTTGTGTGAGGGCTGAGATACTGCCCAGGTGCCCAGACTGAAGCAGTTGGTATTCTTAGGGGCCCACACCCGGAGCCTATGACCTAAAGGTCATCGTGAGGAGATGCAGTCCCATGGTAGCCGGTGACCAAGAATAGGTTCATACGCCATTCGTTCCATCAGGATCCTGGAGCCCATGTGCACCATTGGTTTGGAATCAGGGTTTTCCAACTCTCCTAGGTGGACCCTCCATGTCCACCAACCCGGCTAAAGCGCCGGACATTTGCTTTTCGTCCTCTCACTTTCGTAAACAACACCCCCGCCACGAGAAGGAAGTGAGTAGGACTTCCCTGGCAGAGGCTATATATTCGCGTGGCCGTGTGAGAGCATTTCGAGAGGGCGAGCGGACTCTCCCCACTCTCGGCCGTACCAGGGCATTTGGGGGCGCCTGTAGTAGCACAGATTCATTTACTGTCCATAATCTTCTACATTGAATATTTTGAAACTCCGTAGTTTTTGATTATCAATATATCTGTTTATTTTGAAATTTCTCTTCTTTTACTTCCCACTTCTCTTATCTCCGTCGTGTTCACTCCTATGCTTTCCCCTTGTTTGTTTCCTATCAGTATGCTGATACATAGCAACATAGACCAATGCATATGTCTTCCATAGACAAGTTTTTTTCAGAGATTTAGGACGTATTTTGTATGGTCTATTGGCATTATTATTTTAAGCGTGGAAATGATAATTTTTCACGATACCCACCAAATGATACGATTTCATCCTCACCCATAGATGTAAAGTATATGTTTTCGGTTCTGTACTCTGCAATTTTATTATTGAATAAGATCATATATCCTGGGTGTCTTTTTTACTAGATTATACAATAGAGATGTACCATGTGTTATATAATCATTGGTCAACTGTTTTTTAAATCAGTTCTATTGCTTTATTATGTATGATGAGATCCATACTCGTTTACATGCTTTTATTATGAATTTACCTTGTAGAAACATGAACTCTTTGGATAATCCTGGGGAAGGTGATCAAAACAATCCTCGACAGGCTGAAATCGAGCAGAAGAAACTCGATATTGCATGTTACAAGCATAGCTTGGAGCTAAATCGTATTGCTCTTAGCAAGACCATATGGGATATACGTAATTATTGTTTCACTAACGCTCAAAATGACCCCTTGCTCTGTCCCCCAAGAGACAATCCATATAAATCCCAGAGATCATGTACAGTTATTTAGGTTTTTTACGGTTACTTTTTATATATATTTGCTTCCTTGATTATAACCTACTTAAAATGCTTTTAATTATTTCACGCTATCGAAATAGTGATTTCACTAACTTATTTGCAAACATCTGATTGGTACTGATATTGTTGTTGAAGCCAATGTCTACGGAAAAATGTCAAAATATATTTATATTGCATAAATTTTGTTTCTCAACCCAAATGTTGTGTGATCTATCGATAGCTGTTTAGTAGCATTTTTATGAAAATATTGACATTGTACTAGAAACACGAATATACTCAATTCGTATGGTTGTAGCCAAAAACTACAACATATATTATCTAAAAATATACACCAAATACAGAACTACTTTTCAGTTAGGAACTGACAACTCGATACATACCGAGAGCACTGAAATATTGTTTTTGATACGCGTGTTTTGCATAGCACTTATTTATGTTATAAACAGAATGACTTGCGACTGCAGTCTGATATATTTAGAATTATAGCCGAATCTAAATTATTATAATCCAGAAATTACTACAAAACCTATGCAGAAGACAAATACGACATTCTTATTTATGCATTTGTATCAAAGACTAGAAAGTCTTTTTTCAGTGTCACCTGATCACACAATTTATAGGCTAACTTTTAATACACATAACGTTTGTTTGTAACTGTCAAGCTAACAACAATAAAACTACTTGAATTTTACCCTTACATGGTATGTCCAATAAACAAGTTGTACGGAGTATCTTTCGTTCACCCTTTCTGTAAATGTACCAGTAGGAGTTTGGTTCCACTTGGGTCCTAACAACATGTAGGTGGGTTCCTAGTCAGATAGGAAGCCCCAAATCAATGAATTAGATACAGCCTCTTTGTAATGTAAAAATGAAAAATATCTTTGAGCTAATCAGTGTTGTTCATGACAAATAGTTAAATAAATTTTTGATTCTCATAGCGGAATTCAGACGTTCTGATTTAATTGTATTTTGTTCAAGGAACCGATTCTCAGAGTAAACTTTAAGATTAATTACATTATAATTTTTTTTAAATGTTTTAATAAAGAAAGTTAATTCGAATTTTTATCAGAAGTTATTGCTTCTGTTAACAAGTCACAAGCGTCCTTATGCTTTAACCAGTGCTTTACTTGACATTCTCGACCACAGTACCATTCCTGACGACATCTCGAACATCGCTTCGAGGCAATTTCTCCACATGTTGGGCATCTTGGTGTTGGATATAAAGGATTTTCATCTCCTGAATTCCCCAATGTGGAAGAGAACAATTGACTGAGATGTTCTTCAGAAAATGCCTCAGTCCACTGCAATGCTGCCTTTTTCGCCGCCTCTTTCCCACGATTAGATTCAGTCTGTTCTTTGAATAGTGTGGCAAGTTTCCTCCATTTATTTTTATATCTGAAAAGATAATGCAATAAAACTATTTTTGTATTTAGTGCTATCGGAGTAATTTTTGTTTAAAAATTTCAGTGATTGTTCTGTTTTATTGATAAGTACGATCTAGATTTTAAAACGACGGGAAATATCCGGGTTATAAATATATATGGTTTAAAAAGTAATAGGTGTATTAGGATAATAAGGACATTTAGTGTCACGTACTGTTAGCGGGACAAAGATTGGATCAAAGCACATTCCGTACACGATTGTGTTGATGCACGCTGATTGGCTATTTCTTATCCAATCAGAGCTAGTCGATACTTGGAATTTTCTCCTGTAAAAACTATAAACATACTAACGTTTCACTTATTGTGCTTCTTGCTTCCGTCTACCCTTGTTATTTGAAATACAATTTCGTTCATATTCAACCGTGTTCTGATTTGGGGACTTGTCGAGTGACGTGGTGTCCAAGACTACTAAGCAATTGGAATAGCTGGGTTGTAATAAGAGAAAATATAACAAGTACCATCTTCGATTCCGTTAACCACTAAGTCATCAATTCATTATCTTAACTGTTAATAAACATTCGGTAAAACAGTACTACATAATTTAATTAACTATTAGTAAATATGTCTTGCAGTATTGTATATAATATTTATTGAACTTTGTATACCGGTAGTTGTTAAAGCTTTCTTAAAATATACCTCTATGTAAGTCAGATACTATCCAACTACTCAGAACGTTTCCATACCGGTTTGTTTTCTGGACTCTGATACTAAAGGATATCCATCCGTTTTCATTGTATTTCATAAAGAGGTTTATCAGGCTCCTTCCATTCTAAATATTCTGAAATGAAACGTTCAGAGCAACTAATTGTTGGGTACCTAAACCTATCATAGTATCTGTTGTTTGTATAGCCAATCAAGCCTATTCTGGGTGCATTAATCAGCTTTCATTTGTTTGATCGGTTAACTCTACATAATTCATGTCTTTGAACATAAGTTCATAGAATTCTTCAAATAACCTTTTAGTGTTTAAGGACTATATGTTTTAAGTAGTTCCTAGTGTATATACTGGGATGATGAATATATATATATATATATATATATATATATATATATATATTACATATCAAAAAAGCTCGTTTATCACTTTCGTTATCTCACATAAGACTCAACAGCTTTTCAAAATGAAATAATCGAAAGGAAGCTTTATTCCCTTCAATGTTTATTTTATTTCCTAGTGGAGATAATGAGTCTTCTAAGTAATCAGATTTCCGATAAAATGTTATAATTGCCAAATGGCTACTTTTAATGTCAGATCCGAGTTGGCTCATAAATGCTGTAGATTTTATTTGAAACGTAAAGTTACCTGATAACTTTTTATAATGTTACCTTATTCAGGCTATGATTGTACTGTGAAGCTTTCATTCTCGTTCTGGACACCATTGCCATTACTTACGTTCAAGCTACAAATCTTATCATCACTTAATGACTACTTTGTTATAATAGTAAATTACACATTGATTTGAATCCTCTTGACTGTTGGGTCGTCACTATAAGATTGCAGCTTGTTCTACTGCAGTTTGTTGCTGTTTATTGTTTTAATCTAGCAGTACTATCACATCTACTCATATAAATAATCATTTATACCCCTGGGAAATAAAAGCTGATACATAAATTTTTTGTGTTCTAATTCTCCAACCATTGCACATGACAATAAGAATATAAACACTGTATTATAAGATAAGAATATAGCGTTATCCAACACACATGCGAATATAATTTATTTAACAAGTATATGTGTGATCAGACTGTTCGAAATGTATTGCGCTAATATATCACATAATTCTGATAAACTTCGTCTTCTCATTGCCTTATCGAAATTTATCAAAGGGACTAATTGTTTTAAATTCTTGACTATTAATTATCTATCTTAATTGGATCGAAGAACTTTTGTCGTCACAGTTTGGACTTAAACAGGTTTCATCAATGTAAATATAAGTCTGAAATCAGGTCTTATGAATAGAAAAATAACCATAACTGTAATTAATTACATTTTAGGAAATTCAAGCCACCAGCTCGTTTAATTTACTGAACACAGTGAGAAGCACAAAAATAAATGAGGTCCGTACCATACATCATCTGAATTTGATTAGAACTACTATATAGTGATTCAAAGTGTAACAACGCGATAATGTCTCACTAAATAGATCCTCTAAACGCCGTACCATTTTTTTCTAAATAAAGGTGAGTTCGATAAACTGAACCATTCAACATCATAACTTCAGATCACGCAACGACAAATATCTAATTAGGTCTTCAATTATTAAACTGCTAGTGAGATAGAAAAGTATTGTTTTCTTTAAGTTTGAGGGTTGTCTGTTATCGTCCTGATTATTTATGGAAACTTCTCTACACTCTGAAAATTTTAGCACATACAAATTAAATTAATATTTTCAAAAATAGTTTTCAAAATACTTTCAAAAATACTTTAGTGGCTGTATAATAAGTTTTAGAAGCTTCATGAGTGTATAAATCGAACATAAAACAGTGTAACATCCATCATATAAGACTTACTTGCTAACTAGTGATTCACGAATTTCTGGCACTGCTTCTATAAGACACATATTGATTTTATCACTTGTGCCTCCATACGATTCATTAAGACTTAAGTGTTCCAAAAAACGTCTTAGGTCAATTAAAACTGGTAGAACATCTAGTTTGACTTCGGTAAGTAGTGGACGTAGTTTCAATAAAGCTGTTCTTCTGTGGCCAACTGAACAATCATATTTTAGAGAAGAACTATTGGCTAATAGAATTTGAAATAAACATAACCATATCTATAAAATAGAAATTAAAATAAGCATTAGATTAAGAATATTAATATATTTCCTGACAACTGCATGCTAGTCGACAGCTTTAGCCGAAAGTCAAAAATACTAACATTTCCTAAAAGAATTGCAATGTTTTCCTTCTATAAACATTAAAATGGTGTTACATTTTTAATTGCAATCTAGAACGCATAACTTTTATCTTAGTACCAGAGTCATCGTATTTTTATCGTTAAGTGTTTAGCTTTGGAATGTTTGATTCGTACTGGTTTCACCTGCTTTCCATTGTATAACTATGTGCTTGTTATTATAACTTACCGTCAAACATTTTCGAAGCTGATTCCATAGCTTGACAAACGCTAAACAACCTATTTTTCTTATGCTAGTATTTATTCGCTCATCTCATCATTTTTATGCAGTCTCCTAAGCATGTGGATTAGCCAGAACAGTCGATAACTTCACTCCTCCATCACAAACTAGATAATAAATAAGCAAATCAGATGTACAAAATTTTTCAGGTCGTAGTGGAGAAACGCATTCGATATAGTCTTAGATTTATTCAATAATGTTCAATCGAGCCTGTCTTTAAGGTTTTGACCCTTAGTCTGTCTCTGTAAAGACAATGAGTTGACAGTAAGGAGTAATGGAGATTAACGTGTCGGGTCTGAAGCTTTTTTCCACCGAAGACAATGAGAGATGGCCACTTAATTTCGTGGATTGACTGAAGTTAGACATTAACACTTTTGGATACCAGCTTGGCGGTCTGGAGGTCGAGGATTCGCGCGAGAGACTGAAGGTCCTGGATTCGATTCTCGCCTGCAAGATCGCGGATGTGCGCTTCTGAGGAGTACTATATTGGGGCGTCCAGTGCCTGTAGGTTTTCAGTTGTAGTCTTACTTAGATTGGTCTATGATTCAAATAGGAAAACGAATCTTTAGGTCAAAGAAAAAATCACATTGCAATGAGACTGAGCAGAAGCGGCCACTTTGAAAACCCTTGATGAATAAAGCCACCTAGGCAAAAGCTATCAATAAATCTCACTAGTATTTCTATGAAATATTTTCAATAACCTGAGATTACTAAGGTATTGTATCCGCTAAGTTAGTATTGAAATACCTCTCAATTCATATAATAACCGATGTATTCAAGACAAAGACTATGTGTTAAGCTGGATGTTCGGCATGTAGAATGAACGTCTGGTAAGTAACCCTACAACCGTGTCTCATTTATTTGAGCTTCCTGAGCAATAAGTGGAAGTAATGGGATTACGGACTTCCGGAACAATAATAGGAAATTCCAACAAATAATGCGTAAAATCTTGGCTGTTAAAGTGCCGAATCTCTCAAATTTATGGCTTTCTAATCACTGAAGCAATCAGCAGTATTCAAGGATAAAGGTTGTAATTTCAAGAACCGACTAACCATACAGAATAACAAACTTTTCAGATCAAAACCAGAAGCGTCCAACTAATGTTGTTTTATGCTGTTCTATTTTTATATAAGCTAATTTGTCTGACCCCCCCCCACGTAACAAGCTCCATAATTTCTTGTTGCTGAGTTAGAAAAATTCGCATCTTTATCCCATTATCGCCCTCAAAAATTAACGGCTTAGACATGTTTTCTTCGGATTAAAAACAATTCTATGACGTTACCAAACATTTAAGGCAAATAATTTGTATCATGTCCTAGTTACTTATAAAAAACGTTTCCAGATAATTCAGTTTTGATGGGTTTACATCATAAATAACATCAACTATTCGAGTTGCTTCTCATATAAAAATCTATTTCTGTAATAAGTAATTCGTTCTCGTAACTTTCCTGTGTATTTTTTATACAAATCTATGTCGTCGATTAGTTATTTTGAGCCAGATTGAGTTTTCCTTACTAAAATATTAGGTTAATAATTCAAAAGAAGTTAACAAGAGATGCTTGAAAGTTGACACAGCCATACGATAAATCGATCTTACGTTCTACCTAACACAATGTACCTACCGTTTTTGTAACATGATTTAGATTATAAAGCTAAAAGCTTCCTGTCATTATAATCTCAGTACTTGGTAGTCCAGGGTAGTCAGTTATAACCAACGTACAACCCCGTTTTACATTAACACAACAAGAAAAAATTAACAAAATGAAAATCAAAGGAGGTGAAAACATTTTTATGATAATTGGCTCCAAGGAAGCGAAGTATCAAATAACATTCAAACTAAATTTTTTAAAAGAAGACAAAACATAAATTTATCTGCGCTACTCTCATCCATTTTGTGCCGTCAACTTGTATCTCTGATTATACACTGCAGTAAACGGGCTGATCAAGACTACTAATTCTACACACCTTGACGCGGACCGAAATAAGATTAATTATCTCATGAACTACTTCTATTAGTTGTTTTAGTTTACCCTATATTCCAACCTAACTACGGTTTTAGGTCCCTGAAGGATGGACATGCAAACAAATTATGCTATTGGACGAATATTTTAATTGACTTCATAACACACTTTACTTACGTATCATTTCCAGCTACAATCCCGATAAATAGTTTTTGAATACTTTTGAAGTAGTGTTATTTCAACTTATGTACATATGTACTACTTTGTATTACTTCCCAAACCACCCATGACGTCTGTTTGTAACTGTCCCTAGTATTCGCTACAAATCTACATTATAAGGTCGAATATCTAATTTCTTTATTGCAAGACTATAAATTCAGAGTATTTAACCGAATTATCCCATTATAGAGTTTAATGCTTTTGGTGTCCTTTACAGTAATATAAATAGTTTGCTAAACCACCACCATCCATTATCATTGCTGGAAGACACATGTCAATATAGACAAACAGTAGTGAAACTCGATAAAAAGTTTACTTTTTTCTGATGTTCTGTGAAGTGCTTATTTTTGAAGTTGCCAGTCAACGTACTAAGCAATGTACACTAGTTTAAGACCTAAATATTTTTTTAAAAATCAACCTCCATAACTGTTGTACTTGTGCCATCTTTACCCCCCCCCCAAAAAAAAATAGACAGCTTGGTTCACAACTGGATTATAATAACAATATAACTGATTGGAAATCTATCATCACTATGAAAACGGAAAAACCTAACTACCAAATATTGTTAAGTTAATGTGCCCACATTTCTTATTACGAATTCAGAGAAATTGGAAAATGCGTCTTTTCCAAAAATTGCCAGTCATTTAAAGATTGTACGCGTCTACGTAAAATCAAGTGATGTATCATTTGATCCTCAATTTCAGTTACGTATAGACTGATAGATAGAGTTAATGAATAACAGTTCTATTCGAATTGTTGAACTATTTTACCACAAAAGTACTCTACTTTTACTGTGAGGGATTCGGTGATGGGTAAAATTTCCACATATTTCGTTATTTATAATGTTTAACGTTATTTTCGCTAGTAAATACGTAATTGTTTTATTTAAAAGCGCAAAACAATAAATTTAGTTCACTCTCTACTCTAGTAGACCACTGTTCTATTTGTTGTGAAATAATGTTGATGTTTATTTATTAATTACTGAAATATTCACCTTCAGTAAGATGGATGCACTGAATATAGTAAAATATATGACTGTCATATTTTCGAAAATAAATATTTTCTTTACTACTTTTTTGGAAGCACAATAGTGTTCTGGATATTTCATTTTTGAAACCGTTTCTAAAATATACCAGACCAGATATAAAGATGCGCTTTTTGTTCTACACATTAGATAAAATAATATAAATCTTAACTTCACATTGGTTAAGGAAATAAATTATTGGTTTCTTATTTAATCAAACACAGATAAACATTATGGTATTATTTACCTGCGCTTCCGGTTTGTGAATAACACTGGATGTTTTGTCATCTGGTATCCATGACCCGTTCTCAAGCCAAATATGTTGACGACGTTGTTTATTAGATTCGTCATAACCAATTATTATCCATGGTTTTTGTTCAAGTAATTTGCAAAGAATAATTGGGATATCATGTGTGTAAAGTAAACGACGTCCAATATGAGGAGGTAATCCACTGTCTGAATTTAAACAATTTTCAAACAAATGTCTGACAATGGTGATAGCTTTAATACCCTTTTCATATTCTATAACCTTATACTGACGATCTAGGTCCTTCAAATTACTAGTATCACTAACCTATATTGTTACAAGGGATAAATAAATTAAAGATTTATAATACATTTTTCTTTTAATGAATAAACGTAATCAGTTATATCAGTGGTTGAATAATTTAGTGCTGTCTGAAGTCTTACCTTCGGTTTCTGCTAATACTAATAGCACAAATAGGAAATAAACACCTTTCATATGATAAACCAATAAATTCCTTACCTGGGTGATTTACTTGGCCTCATCATTCTCAAAATCGATGGGTCAAATGTTCTAGCAAGTTTCTTTAGGCATTTATAAGATTCGATTCAATCAGTTATGTGGTTTGGCAATTTCATTAATTAATTTACTAGCTCTAATCAAAACTTATCACTTATTTTCAGAAATTCCAACTAGGTGATTGCTCAACAAATGAAAGTTTGTTATAGAGAATTGTTATGCAGTTAGTTTTAGCCTAATATTCACTTACAATAACCTTGATCTATTGAAACGTAACAGTAATCTGTCGGTTTATATTCTTTTTATTTCATTCCATCAGATTTATGAGAATAACAGCTCGAGAATTCATGTAATTTTACCTTAACACAGGTTTCCTTCACAAGCGACTAAATATGGTTGGTGGTCATGAAAAATGTTCTTCTGTTTGCACACCTATTGATTTAAATGTTAACCATGAATAAACTGATGCCTTGAAAAAAGAAAACAAGTGATTCGTATAACTTGTATCCTCTTTACATCAAAATTTAATTGTTTTTCCTGGAGATGCATAATAGATTGATGACTAAAACGTTTAACAAATGAACTGCCGACTCTTAGTGTCAAAATTTGGTGTGCTATGAGGTTTGGCTACTATTAAATTAATCGCAGTGCCTATTTTGTATAAGTGATCTAAGATTCGTACTTATTAAATCCACGTAGAATTGAGTATTTTGTTGACGAATTAATAGGCGAAATGGGATCTAGTTTGCAGTTAAATAAGGTAAACCCATTAGTGGATTACATTTAAATGATATGTGGTTTATGTAAAGGGATATTTCAAACATCATTAAGTTGCATTTAATGTATCAGCTTGCTAAATTTAGTTGCTCTTGACAATAAAATTGTAGATAACTGAATTTTTGTTATTAGCTTTCAACCGGATGACCTCTTCAATCGGAGTTGAGGGACCAAGTTAGTACTATTGTGGTGTTGACTACTTATATCTATATAAGTAGTATATGGTGTGGGTCAGACATAGAATGTATTTTCGCAGAAGACCGATGAAGAAAGAACTGAAATGAAGCGCAATCGTTTGGAAAATGCATGAGCAATGGAATAAGAGAAGAAACAGTGAAGATTGAAACAATTGGTTGTTAATTTGCAAATTGACTGTTCATTGTTTGGTAATCAGAATTTACTCAGATAGTCTGTAATCTTTGCTTAAATACATTCGATTGTCCCCAACTAGTGTTTTGTTCACTACACTATTACATTACGAATATATATGGTAATTTAATAAACAAAAATCTCGTAAAAATACACTGTGTTTTATTGTAATGACTCTTAAACCTAACCCTAACGAAAGCCCACAGAATTATTGCTAGGCACGAAATTAGAAAGTAGAGATCAAGATATCTGGATTGGGTTGATGAGATGCAGATAAGTTAAGATGTATAGATTTGAAATTCGATAAATCTGGATGGTAGACAATTAGCTTAATTCATCAGGCGTGTACAGGAAGATTATTAAAGCCACACTAAAATGAGTCTCAAAGCATCAAACAAAAGATTTTAATGATATATACTTAGGTTTTTCATGGCCCTTGACACAAAGAATTTACACCGAATTCAGATTGACAAACAAAGTTGTCGTGCTTGGATTTTCCTTATTTGTTTTTGGTTCAATTTGTCATAAACCACTGATTTAACACTGGTCATTTTTTTCCTTCTACTTCTCATTATCAAACTCGATTCATTTCTTCAACCATAACATTTACATACAGTGTCGTGACCGGTAACTCGTTAATCAGAGTTTTAGAAAGGTATCAAACAACTTTTCGAAAAATCTTTGGCTTTTCATTACATTATCCATACAATCATGTGAAAAAATTCCTTACAGAGCTCATCATTAAGAACAAAAAATACTGTAACATAAATCAATGCCTTCTAGTTTGACTACCGAAAATCCTGTCCATCATTATTTTCTGCCGTATTTTGTAAACTATGCACCATCGTAAGTCTGATTTACAAATAGTCTTTTGTTTGCTCAACATTTTCGTAATCGAAGAAATATATGATATTAAACACGATCTTCCATATTCACCAGTAAGAAACTGTAAGTGCCAAAATGGTTCCTATGTGTTTCATTTTAGTAAGAAGCCGTTCGGATTATATGTCTTTGAGGTGCTCCGAAATTCCTTTGACATTCACATAGATTTCTATGTAGTAATTTTACACTATATTCATTACTCCATATATACCTGCCTATTAGTATTCAGTAGTCGATTGTCATGGATGTCTCAGTTACGATTTGCATGCTTGGATAGATGTTGTGGTGAACCTAAAAGATTCTCAATCCATCCAAACTTTCTGGTTTAACAATTGAAGTCTTGAGTTGATCTCAGACAACTGATAAAAAATTTGAACCATTAGACGGTTCTTTGGTCCCAATGTGGGACTGCTCAACAGTGCGCGTCAACGATTCCGCACACGAGACTTGACTCATGATTTCGGTTGTGAAGATACTATAGTCTCCACAAGTTCCCCACACTAATTTCCAGTTAAACTCCGGACATCTTATCGGCTGTTGTTAGATATTCTTTTTAAATAACTTAAAGACTGAATATGGTAAAGTTATTTTATAACTTCTGTTTTGTTGTATTCATGGCCAACAACCAACTGAAATAAACAAACGAATATGTTTCCTTTTTTCTGAAGCTTCTACAAATAACTTCCGTGTCACTTTTTTTGAAGGAACACATGCCATCTTTCAGGTTTTCAGTGAACTCCAGTTGTGAAGTTACTACAAGACATATACATCTCAGGACTACTGCAAACGGAACATTCTGTACCAAGACGTTGAGAATTACGGAAACAAATGATAACAGGAAGTGTTTTCTTTTATGTATTAAACCAAACAGATATTGCAAACCGGTATTTTACTTACGATAATTGCTCGGGTGATTTTGTTAGAGCCGTGGTACATGAAACGATAATCAATACAAAAAGACTTAAAACTCAATGATTTTCAAAATTTTACTGATTCGCTGACAAATTACTTTATGAAACCTATAAAACGTTGATATGTACCTTATTTTTCAATTCAAAATACACTGACTTTTCCTCTTCTGATACTGATTGCGTTACGAGATAACATAATGACCTATGACACCAATCTCCTAAATCAGTAACTGAATCTCCAAAGGTTTCTACTGCATCACTGTGATATGTTACAGTTTCCAATAAGTTTGCCAACAGTAGTTCATGATATATAATAGTATACAATGGGAACGAAGATGTAGGTTCCTCTTTATCACTTAATATAATTTTAAACACTTTTTGCTTCCAAAGTTCAACCATAATTAGATCGTGAACTAGAATCGGTATCTTTTGATGACTAACAAGAAATTCTTTGATAAACTCATCTGATTGAATACGAGCCGAAGCAACAGCCTGAAAATAAAATAAATTACTATTTGATTTTACTTGCATGTTTAACTTGTTTAAATACCCATGATAATTAAACCACCTTTCTAGACCAAAATCTCCATATTTTACAAGTTCCATGGACCGTATAAAAATCTCAGCCTCTCCAGGATATATAATAAATTGTTTGTTGCCCTTGTATTGCAAAGAATAAAATATATCATTAAATAATACACTTGAAATGGTATTCATTACATGCATGCACAAACTGTTATGAAAATAAGTATAACTAACCTTCGAAAACTTAACACCGGGAATGTTCATTTAGCTAATGCACATAAACCCAGCACATCAGTTCATCCGCTTGTTTTTCTGAACTTACCATTTTAATACTGATATGGAAGTCGTCGGCGATTTCAGCTGTTTGGAAGACTGCAATCTAGCCAGCGTGAATATTAATGAAGTCACTGAGAAGCCGAACTAAGTAAGTGTTATTAGTATTATTACGTACGTAAGGAGATAAAATAAGAATAAATAGAGCCTTTAGTCTTATAACAAATGGCTAAATATATTAGGTTATAAACATCCAGTAAATGTTTATTATATGTATCAACGGAGGACGCTTAAAATTGACTGCTTTTTGAGTTCCTTATTCACGAGCTGTGATTTAGAACAAAATTATTGCAAAATTCAGAACATGAAAACTGTAACAGTTAAAATTGTTGTCCCAAATTCAGTGCCAGTGTCTTTGATTGTAAGGCGTATTATAGAAGTACATCAACCACACACAGGTTCTCTACTCGAACGTCACAGGTCGAGTCACATCGCGATCAGCTACCACTGGCGTGGTTGTGTACAAGACTGCCGCTCCTTTTGGAGTACCTATCTGGAGTCTGATCATGCCCTGGTCTGCGCCAATCTCACCTTACTTTACAGTGGCCGAAGGATTGACCACCACCAACGGATTGATATTAGTAAACTGGCTGCAACTTCTGTTGCAAGTAAGTATCGAGCTGAGCTAGCCTCTAGGCTAGCTACCACCCCACCGAAAAGTATAGACGAGCATTGGTTGCATCTTCACGACGCCATGAAAATGGCGAGTAAAGCCGCTTGCGGCTTCGCGAAACGTCCCGCTTACAAGCACTGGGTTTCTTCTGGCTCCTTACAACTGATGGAAGCCCGTCGGTCTACTCCGGGTGACCGTGAGTTTGACCACAAACGAAGGCTGTTACGTAGTGAAATTGGGCAAAGCTTGCGTAAGGACCGGGAAGCCTGGTGGTCGGAGCGTGCTAATGAGATGGAAGCAGCAGCTGCATCTGGTAACTGCCGGAAGCTCTTCCAACTCATCCGAGCCACTGGCAGCAAGAAGTCTGGTGTGAGTGAAACAATCTACGAGGATGACGGGATGCCAATCACTAACATCTGTCGACGTCTTGGAGGATGGGCGGAATTTTTCGAAGATCAGTTCAACTGGCCTGCTGCTCCGGCAACATCAACCAGCTTGTCCTGCTCCCCATGGCCGGTGACGACTGATCCACCAAACGAGGCGGAAGTCCGCAAGGAACTCCAACTCTTGAAACGTTATAAATCACCTGGCCCAGATGACTTACCTCCGGCTCTTTTTAAAGATGGTGGTGACTTTCTGGCTAAGGAACTGACTGCGTTGTTTGGAAAGGTTTGGGAGCAAGAAAGTGTTCCAACATCTTGGAATGAGTCAATAGTCGTCCCTATCTTTAAAAAGGGTTCACGTTGTTCCTGCAATAACTACCGGGGGATAAGTCTACTTTCGATCGCGTCCAAACTATTGGCTTCTATCATTCTTCGTAGGTTGTTTAAAACCCGAGAACGATTGACTCGCGAGGAGCAGGCTGGTTTTCGTTCTGGTCGAGGATGAATTGATCACATCCTCACCCTCCGCCAAATGTTAGAACACCGTCATACTTATCGCAGGCCAACAATCGTAGTGTTTCTTGATATCAGGGCTGCCTTCGATTCGTTGGACAGGACTGTTCTCTGGGATTGTCTATTGAAGAAGGGTGTGCCTGAGAAGTTCATTAACATCTTAAAGGCCCTGTATACGAACACCTCAGGCAGAGTGAGGGCATACAACCACCTTTCTCCCTTGTTCCATTCGAGCAGTGGGGTTAGGCAGGGTTGCCCGATCTCCCCATTCCTCTTCAACTTTGTCATCGACGACATCCTAGAAACAGCTCTGATGGATGTAAGTAATGGCGGTGTGGATATGTTGCCTGGAGAACGACTTCTCGACCTTGAGTATGCGGATGATATTGTCTTACTGTGCGATAATGCCCAAGGCATGCAATCAGCACTTAATCAGTTGGCAATCAGTGTCCGCAGGTACGGCATGTGCTTTGCACCCTCCAAGTGCAAAGTACTTCTACAAGACTGGCAGGATTCTCATCTTGTACTCACCCTGGATGGTGAGCAGATTGAAGTAGTTGGGAAGTTCGTGTATCTAGGTAGCTATATAAGTGCTGGTGGTGGCGTGAGTGATGAGATTGATGCACGTATAATGAAAGCCAGAGCGGCTTATGCCAATCTGGGCCATCTTTGGCGCCTTCGTGATGTTAGTCTGGCTGTAAAAGGTCGGATCTACAACGTGTCGGTGAGAGCAGTTTTACTCTATGCTTGTGAAACATGGTCTCTCCGAGTTGAGGATGTAAGACGTCTCTCTGTGTTCGATCATCGTTGTCTCCGAAGGATTGCTGACATTCAGTGGCATCACCATGTTAGTAATGCAGAGGTTCGGCATCGTGTCTTCGGGCGCAAAGACGATAATTCAATTGGTGTCACCATCTTGAAACACCGACTTCGGTGGCTTGGACATGTTTTACGAATGTCGTCCCAGAGACTTCCACGTCGTGCATTATTTGCCGACCCTGGGACTGGTTGGAGAAAGCGGAGAGGAGGTCAGTGTATGACATGGTGTCGTGGCATGAAAGAGAGCTGCAAAGGGCTAGCTTCTGTTGGTCCTTCACGACTCCCTGGTTGGGGTCCGAGAGATAGTGCAACACAGTGGCTAGAGACGTTATCGGATATGGCTCAGAATAGAAGCCAGTGGCGATCCTGCTGCAACCTTCTTTTACTTTCTACATAAAGAATGGTTCTAACTTTCCTAACTGAAAGAATCTTCTGGTTGTACATTTCAGCCCGCCTTATCTTTTCATCCTTTATCTACCTACTTTCATTAATTTGTGTGGCGCATATGTACTTGGTGCCCTTTTGTACCAATATATATGTGTTTAAATAAAAATAAAAATATGGTGAACTGTCATCATATTTGGCCACTTTAAGTGGTGAACCTCAGGGTTGTCTTCTTTCTCAGCTTTAATTTAACCTTGTAACAGACATGCTCTTAGAGAAAACACTATTATCGTCCGGCGTTTCAGGGATTGGTCTTCTACTAGAATATTCACTTATCGACTTAGATGATATGTTTTCTTTCGTGACGACGGTGACAAAATGCATAGTTTTCTGGCCACTTCAACTTAACAATCCAAGCGTGCTTGATACGTTGTTCTCTGCCTTTACCCGTAAAATGCTACTTTCGCATTGGCTTGCGTCATTTCTCGAGTTAATCATAGGGAGTAAATTAGTTAAAAGCATTGACAAGTTAACTTATCTCAAAAGGTACATCAGTCCTGATGATCTGGTATCGAACTAAATCTCGGCACGTATTCGAAAGACTCGACCGGCCTTTTCCAACTTGCATCTCTTTTGATCTAGGCAAGATATCTATCTTCCAACCAAGGGGTGAGTTTACTGTACGGCAGTCCTACGTCACAGATGTGAAACATAGCCATTGAGAATATTCGTAGGTTACTTGTATTGGATCATAGTTGTCTAAGAAGCATTGCTCGTGGATTTTTGGACCACGGATTAAGCAATCCTCGAGTTGGAAATAAGGTACTAGGGTGAAAAATCTATTTATAAGATAATTTTTCTTCATCAATTGATGTGGTTAGGACATGTGTTATACATGTCAAACCACCGCCCACCTCGTCCGGAGTTGCTTTTTCGTGCGGAGGCAGGCTGAAATAAAGGTAGAGGCGGCCAAACCAAAAAGTGGTATCAATCCATGGAAGCACTGAAAACTGTATATAGCCATTCTCATAGGTATAGACTACCTGGTGAGAGTTTGCGTGATTATCGTAACCGGTGACTAGAGACTTTAAATGGTATGGTTCGAAATCTTTATGTAATGGCGTATGTGCATTTATTCTTTGTCTTCTCCGAAATTCTGAGATTCTAAATTCCTGAAAACCTTTTTTGCTTGTACTGTTACTACCTCTACTGTTCTAGAATTCGGCCTGACAATTTTATCTCTCTGTGTTAACGGGTATGGTACCTGGTTCTACATTGTGATACTACAGTGTTATTAAGGTGGAACGATCAATGATATAGATCAGCTTGCATTCATATTCTATGATATTAGTTGAACAATCTGGTAGAGATTAATTTCTGAACATTGTCGTTTAATATTACTTTACCCAAACCATCAGTCTTTGTTTGAATTTTTATTAAGATTAATAGCAGATTTCATTGTCTTTTGCTCAGATGACTGTATTTCGTACCACGCTACCTTAAGGTGAAAACGTTCGTTACTCATCACTGAACAAGCTATTGGAATGATCCAGAAAATTTCTCGCAACAAACATGGTTAGCTCAGGAAACATTAAGAAGCTGTTTATACAATCAGCGTTTCACTAGAGGTTTTGCTAGAAACATTATGAAAATAAAAAGTCACATGTAGTTTCTGATTGGCTGATAACTACACTGCTACTATGTTTAGTAGCATTCCAGAATTTTCAGGAAAACTCAAATAATTACAAAATACTATAAAAACCCTATATTTATTGTACATAAATGAACCTTTGGAGTAAAATGCTTGTCGCATACTTTGCGCTTTTTCACTCGTGTTCAAGTCGCTGTGTCGTTTTAGCTTGACGGTTTTGAGACTAGCTTAGGATCCGTGTATAGCGTTCATTCAGCAAGGTTTATCACAAGAGCTTGTTATTTTCAGCGTCGTAATTTACCCGAAAGACATTTTCTTATATTAGCAACTGTTGATGGTTCAGTGAGTCGTGATACACACGTGTTTTCTTCATAACAGACTGTCTAATTATAACTCAGTTTTCATTTTAGCGCACTAATTCATGGTAGCTGGCATCTACATAAATCATTAGGTATTAGCAAATGCTTCGAAAGAGATGCTTTTAATAAACTGTTATCTATTTCAACACCTAAATGTTTCCAATACTCTTGTTTCTGGATACATTTGACGTAAAACATTTGGCTTTAAGAAAATACAAGCGAATGCTGTTAGACCATTCCCCAACAAAGTATAGCTTTGTTAGGTAAAGAACAAAATAAATGACGTTTTGACCCTGGATAGTTAACACATAATGAGATTTTGCCGTACGAAACTCTCAAAGTGTCGATTTTACATTTGAAATAAGATCACAGAAACTAAACAATGCTTAAATAAATAGCTATTTTATTGTCCTTTTTTACATGGAAATATTCACTGAATATTCAGATGTCTGTTTCATACCAGTTAGTATAAGGTTTGTTCTATGACATTTGGATGACAGCGCAATCTTTTCCTGTAGAATAAAGCAACCACCGTTCACATTCATCTTGTCTTATTAATCGTTAGCTTGCTCTGTACACCTACTAAATTACTCAAAATCCCAATCAAGATAATCGAACCGAGGTAGCTCCAGTCTCAGTGAGCACTGACGATTGATCAACCTAACGAAAACGAATTGATTTCTAAGATAGACGCTACTGAATGAAATAAATATTTCATTACGTTAGAGTGAGTCGAAGACGAACCCAACTTGAAAATATATCCGGCAAAATTGGATAGATTCTCTGAAATTATGGCTTCATTTGTATATATTACTAATAAAGACTGAATGACATTAGTGGAAACTATGAAAATTACTTCAGATTATATGACCTACTAGTAAAACGTCAAATGGAAACGAGATCAGAAATGCTATGGGAAACCATAATAACAACAAGTAGAGAATTACCTCATAAATAAAATAAAAAGATACATCAATCACAGATATACGTATTTGTCATACGAAAACACACAGTAACTTCTCTTAAGGACAAAATGAAATTGAGACATTTGCTACTCCTTGAAATGTTAAGTTATTATTAGCTGAAGTCATTTCAATTATTCAATGTATCACTTCACGGAGTGTAATACTATGGATCCAAAGATATGGCACGGAGAGTAAGAATGATAATTTGCTCTTACCTCCAACATGATTAAATATTTAATCACCCGAAGTTGTCATAACTACAGTGCAGCAAAACAAAATATTAGTCATCTTTTAATATGGTCTCAAGAACTACACACTCTCATGCCACTACAATCTACTTACAATATTCATCTGCCTTCCTATTCATTCTCACCAACTAGTGCTTCTAAATACAGGAAACGGTTTTGAAGCGTCTGTAAATTTGTGGATCTTTTGAATCATGATGATAATTTCCAATTTTCTCTTGTTTGCGTGAGACTGTATGCGTATTTCTATCTTATGTCTATGCGTATATATATATTTATATATGAACAAGAATGATTTTTCAATTGGCACAGTAATATCTTTGCTGCTTTTCAATGTCATATACATAAACATTCAAAACATCGTCAGATTTATATTTTCCTTGACGCAGTTGACGCCAAGAGTACAAAACAATGTCTACCTAGTGATCGGACGCTATTTTTGATCTTTACCTGAAATCGAGTTTTATGTTACATCCTGTATGTACTACTATTGTTTTCGTCATGGGTTTTATATATATATATATATATATATATATATATATATATATATATATATGTTTTCTGTGACTACATCCATTTTTTATTTGCATATAATTGATCACTTTTGTGTTTCATTGTACTTTAAATATGTTCCTAGTCTGGATTATCACAGTGAAGATACCACAGGTATTTTAATTTGACAACACTTTACCACTAACACCTATAATCGAGTCACACCAACCCAGTAAAATCAAAAGTCAGAAGCGAGGAAGTTGGAAGATATATTTGATGGGCTATCAATATATCGAAAAGTGACTGATCTAATCTGGCTAATGATCGCAGGAGATATTGCACACGCTGTTCCAAACCGTGATCTTGTACGGATGCATGACCAAGCGCCTTCAGCTAAGTGAGTCCACTAAAACTAATGTTTTCAGCATCCAATGTCGAACACTTACAAAGCTATTGATTTTGGGGATTTAGTTAGAGATACAAATGGTTTCCATAACTTAACTTCACCTGTGGTGATATATAGATTCTTAAATTTAATCGAATATTGTTATTTTGTTGTGCATACAAACGATAAATATGGTTTTAAAAAATCATTAAGCTAGGCCTGTATATTTACAATCTTGAAGTTGTATATCAGTTAAGGTTTTTCGGTTCAAATAAAGGCATATCGTAGATCCAAATGGAAAACGATACTCAATCTACTTCAAGTGAATTTATGTTGTTACCATTTTACCATACTTCTTGAAGAATCATTCTTTTTGAAAAATATCACTCCTAGCAACTGCGTTACCTTCATAAATGTGCTATCTAAACTGTCAGTTATTTACACGTTATAGGCTGTAATTTCAATGAAGACCTCTTTTTTGCAGGAAATGCCTACTAAAACACTTTAAATTTAGACGTTCAATGCGTTTCATAATTGTTACGGGAGAACTAAAGACATTTGGCTGATTAAAACCTTTTTACTGTACATCAATTTTACCGTTTTTTTTGAATATGTTTGTTTTACTTAACCTTTGGACTTGTTTGTTTATATCATTCTTTTCGGACATTTTGGTTTTTTTGTCGTCGGTTTGGTATTTGGGAGTTTTTGCTCCGGGAACCTACAAAATTGAAGGTTTGTATTGTAATTGTTATAATTATTGTTGTTAGAACGACTTTGGTCGATTAATTGTGAATTGCGAATAAACTTGGTATTTAATTTCGAGTTTGATTCTCTTGCCTACTTGGGTTCGTGATTTGCGAATATCGACGGCCAGTACTTCATCAATGGTTGAAACGGGCAAAAACTCATAATTGGACGAACATAATAAAGATTTGCATTCGGTAGGTTGAGCTTGTATTTATTTATGTATTTATTCTCAAATAACAGTTTGTTACATGAGACATGCCGGTTTACAGGCAAGATCAAATTGTTAAAGAAGTTACAATTTTCACTGTTGAAAATTACTCAGCTGGGTTGATATTTCATAAGATATGAATGTAAATGGATTTCGTAAGGAACATGTCAATATCACTCTCGGCGCACTTTATGGAGGTCGAGAATAGATACATGCGAAGTTGGGGGCTTTTAGAAGTTTCGAACTTATATCCCTCCAAAATATCGGAAGCCTTAATAACGGTGTAGGACGAAGTCACCCGTGCCATATCTGTTTTCGGTTAAGTATCTGCAGGAGGCTGAAAAAGGTGTAAGAAAAAGGAAGGACGAAAAGCAGAGCATACAATATTCATGGAGGAATAGTTAAGGTATAACCATTTAGTCTATTTGTCTGTTACTGAAGTACTTATTAGGTAAGAACATACTGATGTGTTGAAGAAAAATAAGTGTGGTCAAGGTGGATAAGAAACTGTATAAGTGAAGGTAGTTCAGAAGGAAGTATGGAATTGTGTAATTATAAAATAAAGTGCTGAAAACAGTATTCCGATACAAATGACTGCCTCTCTTTACATTAGAAGCTGTTTGAATTCTCTTTTTTTTCTAGATTTTATAGGGTATAGAGTGGGCTTCATTTTTAGCCAATTGTCTAGTTTGCTTGTGTTAGGATTACTTGGTAGGAAGTGGAACCAATTCAGCTTTTTTTAACATGAATAAAAGTGGTATTTTGCATGAATAATTTCGTATCAATACCGTTGGTTCGTGACATCCCACTAGACATAAGGAATCGTAATTAATATGTTCTGCCCCACAGACACGGGTGAATTGAAGTTATCTCCCCACCATCATGTTTGCTGGTCAGTAACACCACCCTCCCTCCTTTTATGATGTTAGGCTCTCTTACGTTTGTGGTCGGTATGAATATTGCTTTTATGAAGGACCATATTTGAACCATATTTGTCTCTACAAGTTCCATGTTGCAAGCAAACCAGATGGTAATAGCATTTGTATTATGGGTTAGATATCCATTTAATATATCGTGCTACTATGAAGATAACTTATGGTAAAGGTTATAAGAGACAAGTCAGATTATATGTAGTTAAGAGACGGTAAGGGCTAATAGCAAATCAGAGGATATGAAAGAGAATATTATAAAATTTTCAGGGTAGGAAAAATGAAAAATTGAACAACTCACAAGAATTTAGGACATATGAGCTTTTTTTGATCGGTTTTGTTGGTCAGCATCCATAAGATTAGTGTGTTACCTGTCTACTTGTAATAAGAAAAATAAAAGGACATGACACTTAGGAAGAATAATTTGGATTTTTCCATTAGAGAGATTCGGAAACCGAAAATGAGGGTTAGGAGCGGAAGGCCATAGTTAATAATCAATAAATAGTGGGGGAGGATGAAGCATGTTTTCTTTAGTTTTGCTATATTCAAACTAACGACAATGGAGTTCGTTATATTGTTGTTCCGTCTAGATATTGGGCGGTCCATAATAAAGTGCCTCATTGGTAGGCGGGAGTTCAAGGAATAGTTGGTGAAGTTCTTTAGAGTTTAGTAACAGGGTTATTAGCCTTTTAAATTTGGTAAAGGTGTCACAGTTACGGATAGGTATTGGCAACTTGTTCCACAATAAACTATACCGAACTGTAAAAAACCTACAACGCATTTGTTTTTGGTGTTTTTCGGTAAATAGTGTATATGCATTGTTTCTTAGTCTATAGGCTGGGTCAATGATCATAGTTGGGCAGGAGGTTAGGAATGACATTCCATTTATTGCTTTGTAGAGAAATATCAGATTGTTCCTTAACCTACGGTGCCATAAAGGTTCTAAAGAGAGGTGCTTACATCTACTTATGCAATCAAGAGTGGTGTCACTTCCTAGTAGTTGGCATGTCAAGCCTCTTTGAACATCTTCTACTCTTATTTTGTCAGTGGTATTCATATTAGAGAAGATAAAAGAGCAGTATTCTAGGGAAGGTCGTACACATATTTTGTAAAGCGTAAGCTTAGCATCTGTCGGGAAGAAATTTTTTGTTATGAAGCCAATTAGACGTCTAGCTTTAGAAATAATAGAGGAGGCGTGTGCTTTAAAGTTCAGGCTTGCTGTGTAATTTATTCCTAGATCGTGTGCTGAATTAAGTGTCTGGACTTTACTTTTATTTAAGTAAAGTTGGGGTTCATAGGGGTGCTTTCCAAAGTGCATGATCCCGCATTTGTGGAGGTTAAATGGTAATTGCTACTTTTCGCTCCAGATAGTTAGGATATTGAGATCATCTTGAATCAGGGGTACGCTTTCACTTAGAGCCTCAGGCCTATAGCTGTATACTATTTTGAGATCATCGGCATATAAGTATGGTTTTCCAGATTTTATGATGTTACATATATCGTTTATATACATGAGAAACAAAAGTGGGCCTAATACACTTCCCTAGATGACGCTACTAGTTAGTGGTCTAGGTAATGAGAGACAGTCGTTGTACTTTACCATTTGTTTACGTCCCTTTAAGAACGAAGCAAACCATGAATAGAGTGTTCTGTTGATTCCGAAGGACCGTAGTTCGGCTAGTAGCCGTTTGTGTGGAACCTTATCAAAAGCTTTCTTAAAGTCTAAAAATATGACTGATACAAGGAGTCCATTGTCTCGTTTCAGAGTTGTATCATTCATGTAGCCCACTAGGCATGTATCACATGATCTGGACCTAAGAAATCCATGTTGGGAGACCGAGATGAGATTATTAGTAATTAGATGTTGGACTAACGCCGCCTTAACTACTTTCTCCATCACTCTAGACACCACTGAAGTTATGTTTATGGGTCGGTAATTTTCAACATTTGCTTCAGGTCCTGTTTTAATTTTGGGAATGATGTGTGTAGTTTTCCAGGCAGTACATTCTTATTTAATGCATACATGCTTACGTAAACATATGTTAACATCCAGTACTATTCTCCTTGACGTGCTTCGATTCTTTTACTAATCTAACGCTTTCCAAATTACTTGTAGCGGTAAACAAATCCCTGAAATAAATAGTGCTGTACTTCCTCAACAGTTTATGCTGGTCTCACTAGTTTTAATGAATACATCCAGCTGAAAGCACCAGGTCAT